ATAGAGTTTTTCTAATAGATTCCATCGCAACTTAATTTCAACTTAATCAAAAACTTAATATAATTATTGGATGGCAATAGTAAAAAAAAAAAACCACCACCGTTCGTGAATTGCATTTTTAAATTTCATAAAATCTCTTTTCCTCAATTTTCACATTTAAAATAGGCATTAATTGTTTTGGTTAAAAGGAACAGTTATTCAACCCTCAATAACACTGCATGGTAAAGAAGTAGTAAATAAAAGAAAGTTATTCAACCCTCAATAACACTCCATGATAAATAAGAAATAAATATATGAATAATAATAAATATACATAAAAAACTAATTTTTATAATATACATAAAAAATTCACAAAAATTAACTTTTATTTTAACATTTTTATTACAGAAGTAATTTTAATTTATAGAAGTAATTTTTAAATATATTGTTTTATAATTAATATACATAAAAAATCAAAAAAGTTAATCTTTATTTTAATAATATTATTATCAAAAAAAATTTAATTAATCAATTAATTAAATGAAAGTCATAATTTACGCCGCACATAAGTTATTGCAAATAGATTAGAAAAACCGCAGTATCAAATCAAACTTGTTACATTCAACATTTCCGTTCAGTTCAAAACAAATTATTACTATATTAATTATTAAAACATTATTTTTTAATTAAAATTATATTGAATTATAATATATAAATTATTACAAAATATACATTATTAAATAAAACTTTTCGATGAAATACAGTCCTCCAAATATTGAGACTTTACTATCTAACCCTACTTATTTTACAATCCAGTACAGGGGAGTCATTACCCATGTGGAGATCATGAAAGGCAAAGAAACAATGAATCTCTTCCCAGTTCTTCTGATACAAGTCCTATGTTTTGGGTCATGCCATGAAGTATATGAGTTGCAGAACTTCCCTAAAATCCGATCGAAGAGACCTATTTTACTCCTTTTGACAGCATCTTCAAATCCTGCAACCATAACAAGTCCACCCCAAAAAAAAAAACCAAAACAACACACACTCAAACTTACACGTATGGAAGAGATTAGTGCATCAATACTCATATAAAACTACAATAAAAATATAATAGTGGAAATTAATTAAAAAGGAAAGAAAGGTATATCTTCAGCATAAAAAGAAAGAGAAAAAAAAATCCTGGAGCTCCCTTCAATCCAAGCAAAGAAGGGAGGAGGCAAGCACGTCTGCAGATTCATGCAAACCCCTGAGCTGCGCGATCGTCCCTGCGCATCTCACAGGTATCCATGAGCCAGCAGCTGCATCCACCCTCTCTCCCCCTCCTCGTTTTGAATCGAAGGGAGCTCCCAAAAACCCTACTCTTCCGAAATCAAAACAAACAAATATCTAAATAACGAACAATACTAGGGGCACTCGCCAATTGCACTCCCCGACTTGGGCCACGTTGTTTCGGTTCGAAGACGTTGCATCTCATACCCTTAAAAGCAAGCTAACGTGGCCCCAATAAAAAGGCATATGTTGGCCGGAGAGTGCAGGCGGCGAGTGCCCCTAGTACTGCTCCTAAATAACATCAAGATGCTGTATCCACCCATCAATGGATCTGCAGAGACTGGAGGGCGGTAGGTATGGAGTTCAATGGGTTAAGGTTAAATAGGAGAGAGGGGTAGAGGGAAGGACAAAAGTCAAAAACCCTAGAAGGCCAAGACCCAAGAGGGAGGATTGAGAAATCAAAAAACGTCATTAATTAATGTTGTCAATAATGGAGGGGAGATCTAAAGGCTGGATTCTATGTGTCTCGTGAAACGACAAAAATAGATGTAAGATTTAAAAAATCTCTGACAAAAGTATTAAAATGTGTGAATGGATTTGGCTTTTTGGGTGAGAGTGCCCGACATCACTGACACAAGCATCATTTTACTTACTTTTTCCTTGTTTAGGTCGGGGAACCCGAGAAAGGCATGATTGAGCTCAGAGGCCCATCTGGAGAAGAGAATGGAGATGGAGGTCAGGTAACGGCTAACCCAAGGAAGACACAGTTGGATCATGAGGCCCAATAAAAGAAGAAAATGGATTGCGAAATAGGGAGACTCTGTTTGTAGGAGCTCCCTTCACTCCAATACCAAAAAAAAGATGAAGGTAACTAAGTCTCCCGGGTCATGCAAACCCTTAGCCCTGCACACTCCTTGGCTGTGCAACTTGGGCCTAGAGGTATCCATGAACCGGCAGCCGTAATCATACCCACTCCTCCTTAACATTGAAGTGCAGAGAGCCCCCATCCATCCCCGTCCAAACCCCCAAGTTAGAAATAGAAAAGAAGAAGAAACTAACACCCCTGAAAACACATTAAAGTATGAATCTAAGATGGGACAGAACACTAAGTATCTTCGTTTTAGGACATTGTTACCTCAATTTGATCATGGAGTTGTGAAGTTAAGGCTTGTATGAGGGTTTGAAGGAACATGATGGTCCTTTTATAGGCTAAAACATGGGGATCAAGATTCAATCTCCACCGTTTAATTTTATATAATAATAAGATTCAGATTTTAATTTCTTGTTGAGGAATTGATGGTGGTTTTAGTGCTGATGGGCATCATCTCTCTTTCTTACCTTTTGCAATTACATGTTATTATTGGCTGGCGTGACATAACATATATTAATTTTGTTCTTATCAAAATTTCAGAAGAGAAGTGCCGGCAATGCTCTCATTTACAAAATTTTTAACATTTTTTATGTGATTAATTTATATATTTATCTATTATTAATTGATGAAGAAAAATACATGTTAGGTAAATCAATTAGGTAAAAAAATGGAGAGAGAAAGTAAAAAAAAAAGTGGTGTTGGAATTTCTCTTTTTAAAATTGATCATTATTTTATAATTTATTAAATTTGTGATAAGATCTCAACTAAAATTGAAACTTCTTCGAATCTCAATGTCATTGCATTTAATGGTTGGGTTAGGGCCTAATAGGCAGGTCGACGTGCAATAAATCAATGAAATTGCATTCCCTAAGTGGTCCACTACTACACAGGATATAAATAATTATGTGACATGACTTACATAAATTTTATTTTATTTTTTTGACAAGAGTAATGGTTAAAAAATTAGTATGAGTTAGTTGTTAGCAACTGAGATTTTTAAAATGATGAGCATTTCACCCTTTAAATAAGGCGTATAACTATTAAACCACAAGTTGGTGGAATTTACAGCGGTGGCAGAATTATATAAACTTTGTTATACTTCCACAAAGAATAAATTAATAAAGTACTTATCCTCATGTCGCATGCATAAGTCTAGATGATAAACCAATAAGCTTACAACTAGGGTGGGTACACTTTGGTTTTGATTGTAATTGAAATTGAATTATCAATGAACTAAAATTTTATATTTTTTATTTAAGTAACTATGAATTAAATTAAAAATATAAATTTTATCAATTTGAATTACACTTTTAAGAGTAATTATTTGAATTGGTTTCAATTTAAATCAAAAAATTATTTTTATATTTTTTAGTAATTTTTTGAATTTCTTATTTATTATTTTATTAATTTCAATCCTTAAAAAAATTAAAAATTATCCAAATAAATAAGTAATTAGATGAAAAATAATTAAAAAACCTTAAAAAATCTAAAAACTATTAAATAATTATATAAAAAGTTTTTGGTTTGGATTTTTTGGTTATACACACCTTAATCATCAGTTTTTAATTTTTAGATTTAGTAACTAAAACTTAAACTATTTATAATTAGTTCAATTTAATCTTCAATCAAACAAACTCAAAACCTAGTCAAACCCTACCCGTGAGTTACAATTTCATCGGTTTTTGAATTTTTTTTCGTTGCATGTCTTTTGGTCCACCCTTAGTTACCACAACTCAATGTGATAATGACATTTTGTTTACTTATATTGGAATCTTGTTTTGGTTACATCAAATATTACTGATCCACCACCAAATCAGATCAAGTCAACATTTTTTTTAGCAACTAAAGGTGTTTTTGAGTTAATTTATGTATTTTAAAATTAATCTTTTTTTATCTTATTAAAGACAAATCATTCATAACGATAATAAAAAATTCATGAAAAGTTATTTATTTGTTGATTTTTTCAAATAATCAAATTTTAATCAATAAAGTAGAAAGTAAATCTCTTCATCAACTTAATCACAACTTATTGGTCAAGCCAATTGATTAAGGAATAAGAGTTTGATACTCCACAATTAAATTGTGAATTCAACTCTTATCAATAGTAAGTTAAAAAAAAAAAAAAATTTTTTTACCATACAATTTTGTATTGTGTATACTTGCGCTACATTTGTGTTGGACTCCATGATAATAATAAAGACACTAGCGATGGATCAAAAGTAATTAAGCAGATTCCATATATATATATTTTTTGATTTTCCACCCGGTATCCGAGATTTCACTCCGACTACTCTGGATTCGACCAGCTGTGACGCACCAGAATGGTGAGTGGGTTTACCAACGAAAACTGCTGTGTACACAAAGTTTCGAACTCGAAACCTTATTTAAGTTGGAACAAGCCGCTTACCATTTGATTCAACCCTTCGTTGGTAGATTCCATATATATTATAAAAGACAAAGTAAACTTAAAAATGTTGGGACACTTTATTCAAAGCTTATTCGGTGATGGTGGATGCTGGTTGCTAACCCAATCCCAAATTGTAACTGGATTCTGGTTGTTTTACCACTCTAGAAGCTTGGATTCTTGTGTGCTTTTATCTAATTAAACGTCTAAGTAAATTATAACGCATCATGAGCATTTTTATCTTCTTCTTTTTGGTCCAAAAGGCAACTAATTTAGTGATGCACTACGAAACTAATTTAATGCAATGGAATAAGGTTATAGATTATGAAACTAAGATAGTGAGTGAATCATTTTCCGTAACAAATGGATTTGCTACATCACACAAATATTATTTGTGGGTATATATGAACTAATTTTGTTGTTTTTCCATATTTGCTATACATATATATAAAACAATGATGAAAAATTTAGAATTTGATTTTTAAAAAAAATCAAATTCATAAGCTTAATACCAAAAGGTCCCCTTCAAAAATTACAATTTGGCTCTTTAGCTTCTAACTCCTTACTATTTATAAAATTGCATTTGACTCAAGTTAGCAATACTAGATTTACCATTTCTGAGAACAAAATGCACCACGGTGCATGCAAAAAGGATTGTATCAATTTTTTCATCATTCAGGGATGCAAATAGTTGTTCTTTCCATTTCTTAACCTGCCACCACAATCATATTTGATTTTCTGTCACTCATTTTGTTTCATTAGATTGATGTGGTCAACCGGAACACAAGTTCAAGGCAAGTTAAAACGAGGTAGGAGCCTGGCAGGGGCATGTTATAGATCATCCTGCATGCCTGATTTCTGGTTGATCCATGCAACCATACAAATAAAAATGGCATTTCAATGTATAGATATCTAATTATGTTATTATTAGCAAAAATTAATGTGCATGAACATCCTGTTTTCATGGACATATTATAAGACCAAAAGTTCTCATATCTCAACCTCACACACTTGACAGTCTCGGGAAACTAAACAGAGTTTTTGGAAGCTTTTGTGCGAGATTGCTGACCTTCCAACCTTGCCTCTAGTAGTTTTGCCTTCAATGTATTCTCGTTAATGTCCTGAGGCAGTTTCAGATATGATTCAGGTTCTCCAAAATCCGGAGATGTCAACTTAGATGTCCATGGTTGCACTGGGCTCATGTGACCTGCAAATGAAGACTGAACACGAGATTCTTCTCTGAGAATACTCTCTGGGTGAATCTTATCACCTTCTGATGACAAGGAACTATTTCTGATTAAGTCACCATGCAGATCGCTTGAGTTCAATCCAAAGTTTCCATTCCGTGTGGTTCTTCTATCAAATAGACCATCTTGGGTGGCCTTGTGAATCTCAGACTTTCTTGTCCTGCCGTGCTTTTCTTCTCTTGTTTGATCTTGCCCACTAGGCAATTTACATCCTACCCTGTTCTTTGTGGAGTTTGGATGCACAACTTCAGGATGACTTTCTAAAGCATTATCTCCATGATGTTTAGAGCTCCCCTTCCTTTGCATTCTATTTGCACTCTTGTTTAGTTCATAAAATTGTGAATCATCATCACTGCAATCTTCTTCTTGAGCAGCACCTTGAGGCGCACTTACAGCTTCATTCAGTGGAAAGGATTCCAAAGAATACCGTAGTGAGCAATTTTCTCTAGGTTCATTGGTTGACAGCTTAACATCTTTCTTTGATCCATTGGATTGTTTGACTTGAAGAAATGTTTCAATATCAAGACTTAACTTGTCCACTATTGAGTTCTCCTCCGCAGGATCATTTTGACCTTCTGCTAGCTTCATTTGCATCCTCTCATCAAGCCATGCCTCGGAAATATGGAGAATTAACTGCTCGGGGCTTCCTCCCTTTATATGACCTATCTCATGCTTGTGCTTTAGGGAACGCACCTCTTGTTCATAATCCCTTATACCTTTTGCAAACTCATCACACAAGTTCTCCAGAAGAATCCGTGCTTTCCTCTCTCTTTCAAGCTCTTTCAAAGTATTAGAGAAAGAAGATTTTACCTCAGATAGCTCTCGAGCCAGCTTTCGATGTAGGGTTTCTGAGCGCTTCCTTAACTTCCTCTCATCTTCCATCTCATCCCTCACTGACTGGATGGCAGTTTTGATTCGATCTTGCTCCTTGCTCTTCCTAACAAGCTTATCCTCTGCAACCTGCCTCATCAAGTCATCCATTTCTTGCCTATCTGTTTGCTTCTCTTGTAGCAACTCTTTCATATGTGCCCGGGAACGATCCAGCTCCATTTTTAGAGCTTTTACCAATGACATATTAGATGCATGCTGTTCTTCAAGAGCACAGATTCGGTTGAGTACCTTCAATAACTCTGTGGATGTCTTAAGGTTATAACTTGACTCACCCACCCTTCCTCTAAATTCCAGAGAGCTAGATGGTGTGACAGCAGGGTTATAAGGTGCCACCTGCAGAAAAGGGATAAATCTAGTAAACAAAAACCCCTCGGTAAAATACTTTGAAAGAGCAAATTTTCTGTTTAGGAAACATAATAATCAGAAAAAATGATGAACACTCAAGCCAATAAATTCATTATATAAATCAATGATCTCAATCAATAAATTCATTGTCTTTAGCTCAGGATGAGGAGAAGGAAGGCCATATATCACCCTTCCATTTCATTTTATTAAAAAGGAAAAAGATCAGTGATGCGTACTTCCATTGAGCTACCACAACTTGCAGGAGATAAAGGGTGCAAAGCATGACCATTTCTTTCAAAGGATCGATGGTGTTGCATCAGTGACACTGCAGTGTGCCTCTTTAAGCTACTTGCAGTTCCCGGCTGAAATCAATTCCAGTTAAGAGATTAGTTCCCATATTACTCACAATATCTAAGGGTTATTTATCATTTTCACTTATCAAGTACCCAAGGATGGACCACTAGATCCACCATTGTGAATGATTACATTCATGATAATTTTATGCCTCACACAATCAAACCTGTCAACTTAGGGTGCAGTACTGCCTGCAATGCCAAACTAGTACTTGGTTTCTCCTTTAATATTGATTCAATTTGGAATCTCCACTCTCAAGAATAATGGTATGATCACACCAAGTAGCCAGGGATAATGGGTTAATGTCAATATCCACAAAGAAGTCTCTCACAGAATTAACTGAAAAATTAGAACAAACTGTAGCGTCTCTCCTTGCTAAAACAAGAAAAGAATTTGTGGATATACATGACCAGATGGCCCTTAAACGGAGAAGATCAATGAGCAAAAGGAAGCAACGCTTGTTAGAACAAGCACTATTTGGAAAAAAAAATATCAAAAGTCTTAGCCAATATATAGACAACATGAACTCAAAAAAACAACTTTTCATTTCAAATTGCTCACAGATGATCAGCGCCAGAGGTAGTGAACATAATAGAATTTTAAAGGAAAAGTACAGGCATGTTATCACTGACCAGACTCTGTACCCCATGAAGCTAAGATTAAAAGCAGAAAACTAAGCACATGAACCCTTGGTAGGAAAAGGAAGCAAACTTTCTGCGATGCCAGGGCAGAATGAAAGGGAAGCATATTTGAAGACAATACAGAACAACAGGAACAGAAGACAAGCAAATGGACACCACGGCCAAAAACAATGAAAAATACAGTAACTCATCAATAATTAAACCCTAATAAAATTCAACCAAAAGAAAGGAACCTCAAACACAGAACATCAAAAGAGGAAAAAGGAAGTAGGAGTACCTGATAAGGGAGGATGTCAGTAGGGTCGTCATCGACATGATAATCCTTGTCTTTGTGTCGGTGGCGGTGGTGGTGGCGCAGCCTTGCGGCCCCTTTGTGCATATTTCCAAGTGGGTAAAGAGGCTGAACGTCCCAAAGATTGGCACAGAGTTTCCTTGCAGAGACTGTTGCTGCAGGAAAGTTGAGGAATTCCTGGAAGGAGTTTCTGTTATTTTGGTCATTTTGAGAAGAGAACTCAAGTCTCCATGCAGGTGAAGGAGTAGAGGGGCCAGCTCTTTTCCCTACCAGTACCCCGCGTTTCAACTTTTTCACCATGAATTCTTCCTTTTCTGCTCCTCTGTCCACACCTTTTTCTTTTCCAAGTTCCATCTTTGTTTTCCTCCCTCACTCCCTCTCCAAATTTCAAACTCTGGGTTCTGCTCTGTTTTGCTCATGCTTTCATTGAGTCAAGTGCCTCCTTGTCTTCTCTATGAGAATACACGAATTTTCACCGGTGTGTGGAAAAATGTGGCTCTCACTCTTCCTACTTTTCCCCTTCTCTTTTCCCAGGGTAAAATATATAGACCCCCTTTTGTCTTGTCTCTTTCATGCTACACCGGTCATTACTTATGCAGTGTTTTCGACGAAATTCAAAGATAATCAATAATGACTAAATATTCTTAGAGAAGATTAAAAGATTACACAAGGGTATTATATAATCAAGCATTGTCTAAGCTATGGAGTTTAGGTAGGGACTGGTAGGTCCAAGGATGAAGAAGGCAACCTATTCTCTTTTCCTTTCTGTACCAAATGTTTGTCTCCTGCATTAATGCTTCTTCCTTATGATTAGGCCAAAACATGCAGCCCCGCCATGTTCCAAACTTGTGGTCCTTGTCCTTACAACATATACTACATTTTTCTGTCATATTGTTTTCCATTTTAACGTGGCTTTCAGAAAAAAGTAAACTTTCTGCAGAAACTCTGCGCTTATAAACAAGTGTATCACTTGAATTTGTACCTAATGAGATTCTCTCTTCTAGGCATCGTATCCCATATCCATTTTCTTTTCTCAATGAGGAAAAAAAAAATGATGTTCATGCTGAATAACCAGTAAAATAAAAGAATGTGTATATAATAAGCACGCCAAGCGATAGCATGATTAAAATTGGGGGAAGAGGGCCACAAATTAATGAACAAAGGGATGGACCCTTTGAATTTTAAAGCATCTCTGTTGTCTACCTATTTTAATTTAATGAGGTCCATTTTCGTACATTTACTGGTATTTGTCAACTTCATTCCATTTGCAAAAACTAAGGCGAACGGGTCAATAATGAACAATAAGCTGCCTCTCGTCAGGGTATATACTTTTTTTTTTTTTTGAACAGTGTAAAATCTTTTTTTCTTGGGAGAAAGGGGAATGGGAGACTTGGGATTTGATCGCAAGTTCTTGTAGTTCTACGCACGTCCCTTGCAAGGGGATGGTCATTTAGCCACCGAGTGCGGGACGTCAGGGTATATACTTTATATACTTGTCTATCAAACCATTGAATAATGAAAGGTTTAATATCAAAGCCTAACCCAGTAACCCCTATTTAATTGTTAGGGTTGTATACGTCAATGATAGTAATAATTCAATGGTAAGTTTTTTTTGTTGAAAAGTAAAAAGTTTTAACTTCCACTCATTTCTATTAAAAAATAAGAAATCTTAACTTTAAGTAGCATAACATGCGAGTAAAATGAAATAAAGAGATGTGAAATGGTTATTTTTTATTGTGTAACTAAAATTTAAAAAAATATTAGGGTTGTACATTTCAATTAGACAGTTCAACAATTTTTTTTAAAATATGTATAAAAATTAATAAATGAGATTAAAATTTAAAATTAAAAGTTAAGATTAATGATAAAATATTAAAATATAAATTTTATATTATTTAAAAATTTATAATATTATATGTATTAATTAATTTAATAATCTAAAATAAATATATCATTGATTTCAAATTTTTATCCCTTTTATCATTATTTGTAAGAAAAAAAAAAAACACTTTATTTTACATAAATTGATTTATTTTCCTTTTGTAACCGACAGTTGGGGATTTATAGCTGTCGGTGGATTCTTGTGTCAGGCCTTCATAGACTTGTCAATTTGCACGTCTACAAACACGGTGGAAAAAAAATGAGAAACCAGATTTTAACGTATGTAATATTTCGAATGTTATGGTAAAACATCAAACAACAAAGTGTGCAAAAGCAATGACTTTCAAAATTTCCATTTGCTTAACTTCTTTCCCTTCCCAATACTGTGTTCCTCCTCAATCATAACCCCTAATGTTAGTATTGGACCAAGCATTTACTTCCCAAGTCCCAGCAGAACTCATGGTGTCCATTTGCAAGTACTTTTCTACAACATTTCCTGGTTATTCAAATAAGAGGTAGTGCTTACGGGGATCATCATCTTCTTACTTAGTTGTTGTGGTTGTCGTTAAAACAGCCAGATTTTCCATTGCATACCTGCATTATGCTATCTGTTATTTTGTGCATGGTTAGGCCTTTTGAAGATTAGAACAGAATGCTTAGGCTTCGAACTACAGTAAACTCTGTTAACAATTTCAGTATGTTGAAACTTCAGAAAAAGAACTTACCTATTATGAGGTCAATGGAGCAAGTCATCTGCTTTAAATATTTCGCTAATAAACTCCTGAAAGCGTGAAGAATATGCTTTGGGATTTACTGCTGCGATCATCTTTGAGTTGTAATGCAATGACTTGTAAGCATGCTCAATGCGCTTTGAGACACCATAATCTTGACAAATATCTACAATTCCAAAGTACAGAAGAACATCATAGCAGCCCCGTGCCCTTAAACTATGACCAGAGGAGCCACTTCTTGATTCATCTGTTGATATACGAACAGCACGGGCTGACATTTCCTTACCAAATCCAGAACTGCAGCCAAAACACAGCGTGGAGTATGGAAAACTAATAGCTCAAACATTAAAAACAAAGCTAAATGTATAAAATACTATCTTACTCGATACTTCTAGAGATGTAAGACACTTCATAAACATAAGCATATCTGTATCATATTCTGTTCACAGACCCTATTGGTCTCCTTGCTTTCTAGCTTCGGGTGAAACAGCATGAAAATCAAGTCATATTTTCATCAAAATGAATTGACAGCCAAAGTAACGTATACAGCCTGTTGTTATTTTTCTCTAAAGCTCGTTTTACTGTTTTGGAGAGGGCAAATTTACCTCCTGTTGGTTTGTAGCCAACTCTCTCGAAAACTTAATTCTCTTTCTTCATTTTCCCGTAGAGATGGTTTCATGACACTGGAACTTCTTTGAATAGAACCTGCTAGAGAGCAGCAAGCCTCTTATTCAATTGCTAACATGATGAAAACAAGACAGAAAACTTTGATAGGGAATCATTGCATGAAGACATGTTTTGCTAACAAATCTTAGCACAATGAACCATCATGCAAAAAACTAAGACCATAAATAATTCATTTCAGTTTAAAACTATAATCTCTTTCTCTTTCTTTTTTTGTATTTTTCTGGAGGAGGGGTGTAATACTGCTCAATGAGGTCAGAAGTTACAAGATTAAGAAAGATATATACTAGGAGACAAGATAGAGAGAGCTCAGAGGTGTCACAAATTAGAAGCCTTTTCTTTCAATATCCCAAGTACCATGATGAAAGTAATTTAGCGAATCACCTCGGCTTGAAGCAGTTGCAGATCTTTTCAAGGATAAACCACTTTTGGATGACAAATCACTGCAAACTCTCATGTGGATACATGGACTTCTGCTGTCAAGCGAACCTACAGAAGAATAACAATTTACATGATCTTTTTAAGTGTCCAATAAACATGAAGACTAGGGTCCAATATTTCTCCATTCCTCCTCCCCCACAACAGAAAAAGAAAAAAAGTGAATCTATTTACTTTTATAGTCCTTCACACAAACAAATTGATTTCTTCCTACATTAACATCACTATATTTTCAATGAGACATGTTTATTTTTGCTCAATATATTACTGAAAATATGGTACAGTGTGGCCTCAAAATATTCACATCTATGAAAGTGATATAGGAAATTTACTAGGCAAATAAATCACCTCGGTGTGAAGAATCAGTAGAATGTATATTTCTGCTATCAAAAGAACCTGCAAGAGACAGAAACTTATCACAAATTCCAGACATTCTGTTACTCAAGTGATTAAGTTCCCACAAAGGAAATGAAACAAATAAAAATTCAAACATAAATTCTTCTAATTAAAAAAGTCACCTTTCACCGAAGTTTTTTATGAAAAAGTTATGTCAGCGTTCTTGTTTTGCATATAATAGATAGTACTAGGTTACATCTGTGCATCTTTTTGTAAAAACAAAAATGCTAAAGAACAAAGGATTTTTCTATTGGCAAATTCACCTTCATGTGACCTTTTTACATGTAAGCCAAGCAACAGACTGTAGTCCATGATGCCTGCTGCCTCCAAAAACTCACAATCATGCTTGATTTGCCTATAAAGTAAAAGATATGTTTACAAAATTAGGATGGACTCAAACATT